ACTGGGAACTAGACGACTCCGACTGGGAATTAGTCGCTATCATCCTCATCTCTGTGGCCTTGATCATCCTTGTTGCCATCATCACATTGGTACTCACTGACCTTGCTGCTATGATGCTTCCAGAAAATCCATAGATTTTATGATTAAAATCTTGCCATAAGAAAAGGGGAGAATGATGGAATCAAACCAAATCCCCCCCAAAGGAAGAATATTCGGGGAAACTGTATAAGGAAGTAAGATGCAAAATCCTAACTACTGAGACAAAGCTGACTTTTTCATGCTCCGTGCACAAAGCCGAACATCACCCGAAACTTCCCCCCTCCTACTGCTGCCGGTTGCTGCCGGCCCCCTCCCACTGCTGCTGGTTGTGGTTTGTGGTTTTTGCCTTTAAAGGTCACCTGTAAGCTGAGCTCAGGGCTGCTGTTCTCTCTCTCTCTCTCCTAGTGAGGCAGGAGCCCGTCTAGTGAGGCAGGAGCCCGTCTGCACAAACAATTAAATTCTCTTGCTTGTTGCATCTCCTGGTCTGAGGACTGAGTTATTGGGGTGCGGCCTCCTGTGGACGTTGGGTACCCCAGCCTGGGGGTCCTACACTACCTAATCTCTAGTCCCTGCTGAAAGCTTCAGATGCTTTCTCTTCCCTTATAATTAACAGGAGAGAGAATCACTGACACTGAAAATAATTTCCAGGGATAGCTATTTAGATATTATCCCTGGTCCAAAGAAAATTGAGAACGACCACTGGGAGAATACAAATTATAGTTAACATTGAAAAAACATTTGATTTTTAATTATGTGTATGAGTGCACAAGGGTATGTGAGTACAGTGGAGACCAGAGGTATCTGACATTCCTTGAGCTCACAACAGGAGGTTGTGAGCTGCCTAACATGAATGTTGGGAACTGAATGTGAGTCCTCTGCAAGATCAACCAATACACTCTCCTAAACACTGTGCCATCTCTCCAGTGAATTTTTATCTGTATGTAGGCCATATGTAAACTATCTATATACAAAGGCAGAAGAAAAGGCCAATCTCAACTATAGACATTGTGAATTCTTAACATTCTGCTTTTATGAAGTAATCAGTTTCATTACTTCATCCTCTTGTGGAGCACCCAGGCTTTCTCTTAACTTTCTCCTATGACATTGGGGGTGAATACAGACAGCAGTCACCTGACTTAATCTCAGTTTCTTTAACACATGAATTTTTTTATTTTCCCCTAAGACAGGGTTTCCCCATAGCCCCAGCTGGCCTAGAAATCATTATGTAGACCAGGTGGATCTCTGTGAGATCCACCTGCCTCTGCATCCCAAGTGCTAGGATTAAAGGTGTGTGCCACCACAGCCAGCTTAACACATGCAATTTGATAATACTAAGGAAGAGTACCCAACTGTAATCATAATGGCACTTACATAGCACTTTGTGTTTTACAAAGCATCTTTACAAGAATCGCTTTATTCGGTTTCATAACAACTTACTGAGCACAGCATAACAGAACAATTTGCAATTTATAGGTAAGAACAGAGAAGCTCAGGAGCTGTGGTCTCCCCCAGGTAATAACTCAGTGGGGATTTCTAATATACTATTCCACGTTTTCATATGACAATATTCAATGATTACCTCACTGTATGTACTTTAAATCTTAGAAAAAAATTAAATCAAAATATGTTCTAAAACCTTCTTTATTTCTCAGACCTGCCTGTTATTCACTCTTTCTCTCCTAGGTCCACCATGGAATGTGTGCCTACGTATGGTCATTTACCTTACACTTATCAACCGTCTCATCAAACATCTATTTTTTTCATTTTATTTTACATGTATGAGTGTTTTGTCTGCATGTAAGTGCACCCATGTTGTGCAATGCCCAGAGGTCAAAAGAGGGCACCAGATTCCCTGGAAATAAAGTTATAGGTGGATATTAGCTGCCCTGTGAGAGCTAGGAACAGAACCTGGGTCCTCTCCAGGAGCAGCAGGGCTCATAACCATTGAGCCATCTCTCTAGCCACCAAATATCTATTTTTTGCTGGCTTGGATGTTGTACAAGTAGCAATCCTAGCACTCAGGAATCAGAGGCAAGAGGATTATTCCAAGTTAGCTGGCCTGTGCTACAGAATTCCAGGCCAATCAAAGCTAAACACTGAGACTATCCTAAAGGGGCTAGGGCAATGGCTCAGTTGGTAAAGTACTTGGTTTAATTTCCAGAACCCAAACAAAAAAGCTGGGCATGGTAGTGCACTTGTAGTTACAGCACTGGGGAGGCAGAGACAAGCAGATGAAGGAGTGCCCTCATTGGCCAGCCAGCTTACCCGAACTGCAGAATTCCAGGTCATTGAGAAACCCTGCCTCAAAAAACAAGATGGATGGATCCTGAACAAAAGCACCTGAAGCTGTCCTCCATGCTTATGTACACACCTGCACTAGCACCTACACATACATGTACAAACATGCATTTGTATAAAAGTAAAGACCTCCAAAAGCCATCTATTTTTGTCAGAGTGGTGGCATGCCTGTAATCCTGGCATTTGGGAAAATTCAGAATACCGGTTAGCTCCAGCTATACAGTGAGCAGGAGACCAATCTCAGCTACATAGTAAGACTGCCTCAAAAACCTAAACAAAAACCCAAACTTTTGAGACAACAGCCCTACCAATACTCATTAATATTGATCTTCGAGATTTGTTCTTCTATTTCAGTAATCCATAGAAAAAATGCTCATGCTGACAGACTTCAGTCAGAAGATAATGGCTTGGTAACTAAATGTTCAAGTCCTACTTTGTAACAGGGAAGGGCTGATATATTTTAAAATCATTTCTCTTGCCTAGTTAAAATTTAAGATATTTATTCATGTCTCTTTAACATGAGATATGGATCTGTAAAAGTAGTAGTTATCTCTGCTAATTTTGATTATAGGCAATGGCTCTTTTTAATTATCATTTTTTTCCCACTAGAAAGAAATCCAACTATATTGAGTCTAAAATCTATGAGGTTTTGGGAACAGAAAAAAGAGCAAGCATGCTGGGAACCTGGAATGAAATGAATAGAAAAGGACAAAAACCATTAACAGTGCATTTTCAGAAATCATCCGGTTCCAAGTCCCAAGAATACAACTTCAAGTCAATAGCTATGACTCCGCAGAACCTAATTTAAAACTAAAGATTAAAACCCATGTTCAAAGGACCCACAAGGCCAAACTTGGTAGATTTTTACCTCTAATGCCAAGGCAGTCTTGTCATAAGCACAAGGTACTCTTTTCTGGATTGCTTTTGCAAAGACAGGTCCATTCTGTGTGGATGGCAAAGGGTTGATGGCTGCCCCAGGAGTACTGGCAACTGTAGGTAGAGGAGTTGTGGTCTGAGGTTGAGCATAGGCGTGAGCAGGTTCAGGGATGCCATAGCTGTTGGAATTCCTATTTCCATGCTTTCCATGTGGTGAGGATCTCACAAGCTTTTCAACGTAAGGGACAGGAATCATTCCAACCCGGCCATCCTTGTTCCGGGCACTCCACCACTGTTCTTCAGGCTTTTCTATTATCACCAGGATCTCACCCTTTTTAAAAGGTAGGTCTTCAGCATCATTCCCAGGAAAATCATACAGAGTCCGTACATATTCCAGATTTTCTTCTGCTGTAGACAGGTTGGGTGCTGAGACAGAGCCCATTGGTGGGCTTGGATACCTTAAGAGAAAAACAAAATTACTCTGAAGAAAACTCTTACTCTATACTAGTGTCTGACAGAAACTTAATAAACCACTCTCCTCCATAATGAATTACTTCCATCTTTGTACTGGCAATAGTTAAGAATTCGTGTCATGCTGGGTGTGGTGACACAAGCCTTTGATCTCAGGAGAGGCAGGTGGATCTCCATATTGAATCCAGCCCAGCTGCGACTACAGGGAGACCCTGTCTCAAAAAAGACCAAAAACAAAAAGAAAATAAGAATTCTTGTCATTATACTTTCTGTATACCTGTCTGAAACAATACGCTAAATATACTCCTTCAAATCACATGCTCAATGTGTGTGTGAACACGCCCCCATACCACCTGCTTTAGAGAACTTTTTGGTTATAGATAATTGCTCTGAATTTATTTTTTAAATCTCAAGGAGGTTTATAGCTGCCTTCTTTTGGACCCTGTTACAACCATCACACACATTTCCTCCCACTCCTAATCTAATGGTTCACATCCTTCATACTTCCCTGGGAACAAAGAGAGAAGACAATCCTAGTACTAGGGAGGCAGAGGCATGTTTACCTAGTTCAAGGTCATCCTTGCATACATATCAAGTTTGAGGCCACCGTGAGCTACATGAGGTCCTGTCTCAAAAAAGGGGTGAGGGGACTCCCTCACCTTGAGTGCCTCCAAGCCCGAACAAAGGTCCTGGGTTTGTTCCTTAGTACTTTAAAAAAAAAAAAAAAGAAAAACAGATAAATTCCATTCTAATGTTTTAAAAATTCAAATTGGTGACCTAATCTCCAAGCAGTCTCTTACTGTTGTTTTAAAGGAACTTTCATTAGAAAGTGGGGAGGTGAGGAGCAAACCCAAACCCAAACCCAAACCCAAATCCAAAAGAAAAAAAGGAAAAAGAAAGCAGGGGCTGGAGAGCTGACCAGTAAAGTGATTACCTTGTAAGCATAAACATCAGAGTTTGGATCTCTAGCACCCATGTGAAAAGTCAGGCATGGTCTCAAGTGCCTGTAATATAAGTAAGTGCTGGGGAGTCAGCCTCTGGGGATCCCAGGGACTTGCTAGACAGCCAATAGAGCAGAATCAGCAAGCTGCAGGCTTGATAAGAGACCCCATCTCAAAAACCAAAAGTGGCCAGGTGTGGTGATGCATGCCTTTGATCCCAGCATTCAGGAGGCAGAGGCAGGTGGATCTCTGAGTTCAAGGCCAGCCTGGTCTACATAGTGAGTACCAGGCCAGCTAGGGTTACAGGGAGACCCTGTCTCAAGACAAAGAAAACAAAAAAACCTGAAACAACAAAACCAAAGGTGGAGGGGCCAGAATGTAACTCAGCCAGTAAAAGCCACTAGCTTGTGTGCAAGCTTGATGATCTGAGTTTGGGCACTGGGACTGACATAAAAAGCTAGCCATGGTGGTGGTCTCCATCTGTAATCCCAGCACTCCTACAATGAGATAAGAGATTGAAACAGCAGAATCACAAAGAAGCTTGCAAGCTTGGAGTACACAGAAACAAGGTGGAAGGCAAGAACTCACACCCAGGGTTGGAGAGAGTGCTCAGCAGCTGGTAGTATGTACTGCTCTTCCAGAGGACCCAGATTCGGTTCCTAGGGGTCTGATACCCTCTCCTGGCCTCTAAAGGCACCATGCATGCACACAGTGCAAATACATACATGTGGGCCACTCACTCATAAAATAAGGATAATTGAGAAGAAAACTTTGCAAAGAAAAGGAGCATAGTTTTTGTCTTTTTTTCCCCCCATGGTGGATGTTATGTATTCAACTTTCTGTGCACCCAAGTAGCAGGGATCATTTCTGTATTCCATTAGAATCCAGTAAGCACTATTCCTTTAGGGCAGTGATCGTGAGAGTGGGCCTTCCTTTTTTTTTTGAAAAAAAAAAAAAAATGTTTTTTTGCTGGGCATGGGG